GGGTGCGCGGTTCAAAAGGGAAGCTAGCTAGCTCGGAGGAAGGGAATTGAAGATCCAGTAGTGGTTGTGAAAGGCTTTGCAGGAGAATCTTACTTAAAAACGTTTATTTCCGAGCCCACCTGCAACATTCTTCTGACTTTTCTAACATATTGTTTGAGCGCAAGGTGCTGAGGACTCGCTTAGACAGGACTTTGTTTTCTACTTCCTAGAATCTAAGGGGGCTGGAGGGTGGAGTCTGCAGGGCAATAAGCCCTGAGCCTCCTGACTTAGCTAATGGGGTAGAGGAGTGTGGTGTGTCTTACCCATCCAGCCTCACGAGGAAAATCTGGAATGCCGAATTCTCTATCATGGAGGATTCACAGCATGGGAACAGGAAACGGGAGAGCAGGCCGACAGAACATGGAGCAGGAGCAGTGGCCCTTGGCACCAGACTTGTCACCCACCTGCAGTAAAGAACACCTGAGCATATTGTGACCATGCCCTCAGGCCCTCTGTAATTCCCTTCTCTCTCTGCTATGCCACAACCTAGTGCCCTTAATACTCACCGAGCCTTGGAAAGTGTACTGTCATAACCAGATAGCTGGCTACATCTTGACCGCTTCTGCAGAGGTGCTGTCTACCACTTGTGGTGTAACAGCCGCATCTTCCTAGCAGACTGATGTGCAAGCTGGAGTGGACAAGCACACCTCATGCTATTGTTCTCCACTGAATGGGCTTTCCCAGATAACTGCAGTTCCAAATGCCTTCAGTTTGTGGCAATCCTGCATTGACTCAATCTATCGGTGCCCTTTTCCCAGCCATGTGTGTTCCCTCGGTGTCTCTGTATTACATTTTAGTGGTTCTCCCAGTATTTTAGATCTTGTCATCTTGCTATCGCACACAAATAAACCACCGCACAATGTAAACACAACTTTCGTATGCGGTGGGAAACCAAACCGGTGTGTAGCTCTCTTTGTCGTGGCATTCCCGGGTTGGCAGTACTCTGGAACCGAACCGAGAGTATCTTCACGGCGTGCCGGTGCTCTCTCCAATGCTTGACCGCTTAGGTGACATTTGTGTTTCCTATTTCTTACGTCAGATGCTGAGAGCACCCTTCACAGTGGGTGCACACCAACGCAGGGAATCTCTGGAGAAAGAGCCGGGAGCCCACCACGTGGGCTGCAGAAGAGGGTTCCTCAGGGAACCGACTTCCCAGAAACACGTGGCCTGGAGAAGCACCAGGCGGTCCCCACTGTGGGAAATGTCAGAGGAAAGGTTGAGAGAACCCACTGTGCTGGGAAACCTTTTAGCTGTGAGGAGTGTGGGAAACACTTCAGCTATTTTTCCTACTACATTCGGCACCAGCGAGTCCACACCGGCGAGAAGCCCTTTGGTTGCACCGAGTGTGGGAAAGCCTTTAATGGCAATTCCTCACTCATCCGGCACCAGAGAATCCATACTGGAGAGAGACCCTACCAGTGCGAGGCGTGTGGGCGAGCCTTCAACGATAATGCCAATCTGATCAGACATCAGAGGATCCACAGCGGGGACAGGCCCTATCACTGTAAGGAGTGCGGCAATAGCTTCACCAGCAGTTCGGAGTTTGTCATACACCAGCGGATCCACACCGGGGAGAAGCCTTATGAATGTAACGAGTGTGGAAAAGCTTTCGTTGGCAATTCACCACTAATCCGGCATCAGAAAATTCACACGGGAGAGAAGCCGTATGAGTGCAGTGAGTGCGGCAAAAGCTTCGGGAGGACTTCCCACCTCAGCCAGCACCAGCGCATTCACACAGGGGAAAAGCCTTATTCTTGCCACGTCTGTGGCCAGGCCTTCAATTTCCATATGAAACTCACTCGGCATCAGAGGATCCACAGCGAAGAGAGGCCCTTTGAGTGTGTAGATTGTGGGAAAGCCTTCACTGCTAGAGAACAGTTACGCAGGCACCTCCGAATCCACAGGCAGGAGTCTTCCTGTGTGTGTGACGAGTGTGGGAAAGACTTCACCAGCAGAAGAACTCTGCTTCAGCATCAGAAAACTCATGCTGACGAGAAGCCCCATGACTGTAGCAAGTACGACAAAGCCTGCAGGGCTTCTTCCCAGCGAGGTCATCAGGAGCATATCCAGTCCGGAGAGAAGCCTTTGCTGGACATTTGTCACTTTGGCCTCCCAGAATTCTTTACTCCCTTTTACTGGTAATAGTACGCACTAAATTTCCTCTTGGACTCCATCCTCTGCTCAGGAGTGGAGTGTGGGACACAGGTCAATCGCGCTGTGAGGTTTCCCCGCTCCGGGTCCCATTTACTGTTTCTCATGTCGTTGAGTGACCTAAGATGGTCAATTAAAATGAGCTCCAGGACTTGGTAAGAGCTAATTGGAATAAATTTTCTTATTTATCCATTGGACCTGCGCTGAGAGGAGCGCCCTGGATTCTTCGGAGACAGAATAAAGTCAGCACAGCAAACGAGAGATCAGAGTCGGAGAGCGGCCAGTTCTTGAACACATGGTTTGAACAACTCCATGAAGTCATATCTGAAAACTAGAATGATGTCTGCGTTTTTAATCCCAGTGACCAATAAATTCCACGTTTGCTTTTGTACTTAATCAAATCCGAGTTGGATTTTTCCCTTCCTTGAAGTGGAAGGTTGTCTTCCACGGAGCCTTATTAGCATAATGACCCATGCCTGCAGGGTGACAAACATGGTTAGGTGATGTTGAGTGGGCTCCAGCCCACCCTGTCTGTGTACCACAGGATGGAATAGTCCTTGCTGTCACCGTTGTTCGGTTCGAGCTCAGTGTTGGAGCCACTGTGTCCTCCATCTCCTTGGGGGTCTTCCTTGTTTTACACAGACTGACTTCCCCACATCTGATGTCTTTTCCCCGGAACTGGTCCCTCTCGACAGCATGTCCCAAGTACAGGAGACAAAAGTCTCACCATTACCTCTTCTTACTAAGGAGTCTTATGACTCTACTGTCTCCATCCCTGATAGATTTGTTTATTCTGGCAGTCCATGGTCCTTTCATTTTCCTCCCCCACGATCAGCGATTCAAAGGGTGAGCCAATCGCCTTACTCACTCACTCAGCGTCTAACTTTCACACGCATGGGAGGATTGAGCATCCCATGGCTAGGGCTGGCCGCACTTGGTCCTCAGAGTCACAGCTTTGCTCCTTACCATTTTAAAAGGGAGTTGGTGCAGCAGATTTGGCCAGTGCCATATGGTTCGATTTTTCTTTTTTCTTTTTTTAAGGTTTCAATATTTCATTCCAAGTTTTAAGGATGTTAATTACAGCATTTGAAGCAGAGGACATAATTCCATGTGACATGGAAGACCAAAAGGGACCCATGAAATGACACAAAATAAATTGGTGACTGTAACTCCAGGTTATTGTAGATTCTGGGCGTTGTCACTGTGCTCTCGTGGGCACTTGGCCTTTCCCAGCTTGCAGCTGACGCTCTCGCAAGCGCTTTCACACTGTGCAAGGGCCTCAAACCGCAACTCGAGAAGGAACTGAAGTTTTGAATTACTGGCTTTGTCACACCCACCTTCTCCACCCCAAAATAAAAATCCGTTACCACACCCTGCAGACTACTTTTGGGGTAAAGAGGTGATGGACTGGGGTGGAAACGGGTCATGCAGATCTGTCTACAAAAGTCCCTTTCAGATGAATCCGTACACCTCCTCAGTTCGGGTCAGGAAAGCCAGGTTCAGTTCTCAGGAAGTCAGAATCGCATTCATTTACTGAACATGGATGTGCAACGAGCCCACACTGCACTCCGCTCGCAGGGACTTCTGGATGAAGAAGAACACTGACCTCTCTGGAGAGAGAGCCACCGAGTCTCCCCAAAGTCGGCAGCCGAAAGACCTTTCTGGAACCGGGTTTCTTCTGTCCCCCTGAAAGTGTAACTTTAAAGATGACTCAAATGTAATCCAGAGGTCTAGCAGGATACTCATTGATACTTGCATCTCAGATAGACAACATTAAAAGGTACACCAGAATTCTGAAGGTAGCCGTACTGCAAACTAGTTAAAAGATTAAATGATTGCGTAGTATTTATTTATTCCTGAAATTCCTGTCCTAAAGCAAGCTTGTGGCCAACAGTATTGACGTTCTTGCCATCCAGCAGGGCTTTAGGGTCAGCATCAGTATGATACCTGGCTTTAGGGCCTTAGTGTTTCCTAAACCAATCAGACTAGACTTGTTCACTTACAGAGAAACAGGCATCAGGGTTGATGTGATCATTGCCGCCACTCTCAAGCTGTCGTTGCCATTCATTGCCGCCCAGCTGAGACTGACGGCAGTCTCCAACTTCTTGTTCGCCTGGCAAACGGAGCCGCCAAACTCTGTCCTGCCATGCACGTTACTTTGAAAGGCTGAGCATATTCTATTTTGGCTTTACAACTCTAGGTTTTTGCACATTTCATTATAATACTTTGTTTTCTTGAGCTGCCTGTTGAAATGTTGGGTTCAGTGCTTTAATCATTTCTTCCACTTGGCTTAACTACTTTATGATCAGGGGCAGGTTTCAGCATCAGTAATGGACACATGGTTTATGTGTGTGTATTCTGTAGGGATTTTTAACTACAGCACTGACAGTAAACCTTGTAAATGTAAGGAGAATGGGGAGTCCTTCCACTGCAAGACTCGAGAGAACCCAGACTGCATTCAGGCAGCACCCAGTCTCCTCTGCGTCTTCCTCTTTTTCACTGCCCTGCCACTGTAGCCAGAATAATGTCCTTTTCCAAGAATAGGTCTCCCCTAATAACACATTCAAAGTACTCAGACATGAAGCGAAGTGTCGTCATTCTGGCTGTACTTCGTCCAAGGTAAGTCTGTTTGTTCTTTTGGCAGTTCATGATATTTTGAATATTCTTTGTCAGAAATTTTGCCCGCACATCTTTTTTTTATATATGCATAATTTTATTGGGGGCTCATATAACTATTTCCCCATACATCTTATAAGTAATATATACTGCATACTATATTGCAGTGCATGGTTTGCTGATATTCTTTAAGAGAATACCAGATTTATCAAGATATTGTTGGAAAAAGGCAATAATAATGAAATAAATATAATGAAAACGTAAGGATTCATATACCACATGTAGGATGGAGACATTGGAATGGAACCGGTCACAAGTCTGAGACTATATAATAATAAATTCTACAGTGAGTGACCATGTTATCATTGAACACCAATAATATTTTTTGACATCATATGCCATGCACTTTGCTAATTGTTACTAATTTTTTAGTCAATTCTATAACTACAAAGCAGGTGCTGTATTAGCTCAAATTGTTACAATTGAAGAAACACAAAGAGGTTAACGGGGTTTCTCAACGACAGTAGCATAATAGGTAATAAAAGTTTATGATCACTTTATTCAGGTGTTGATTTATTTTATGCTTGTTTCCAGCATGATACCTTATGTGCAACGAGGGCTGTAA